CTCCCCCTGCCTGTGCTCCTCTCTCACTGTGTCTCTCTCTGTCAAATAAATAAATAAAATCTTTAAAAAAAAAAAAAATCAGGTAGTATAAAAACTTCAACTTTGTTCCTTTACAAACTTGTTTTGGTCATTCTAAATTATTTGCACTTCTATATAAATCTGGGGGAGAACTGCCATCTTAACAATTATGAGTGGTCCAATCCATAAACATGGTACATTTCTTCATTTATTTTAAACTTCTTTAATTTCTCTCAGGAACTTTTATAATTTTCTGTATATAGGTCCTGCATTTCTTTTGTTAAATTTATTCCTAAATATTTTATTCTTTTGGGATGATACTGTTTTTTTATTTCACTTTAGAGTGTGCATTGATACTATATGGAAATATAATTGATTTTAGTATCTTGATTTATATCCTACAATGTTGTTCACTTGCTTTTAGTTTTTAAAAACATTTTGTGGATTTCTTATGATTTTCTAAACTAAATACAAAATCATGTCAATTGCAAATAAAGGTAGCACTACTTCTTTCTTTCCAACTGGTATGGCTTTCTTTTTCTTGCCTTATTACATGATTGAAATCTCTACTACAGTGTTCAAACAGGGTAGTGAAAGCAGACATCCTTTCTTTGTCCTTAATCTTAAGGGAAAAGCATTCCATCTTTTACCACATGGTAGGATGTTAGCTACAGGTTTTATTATTCTTTATTAGTTTGAAGCAATTTCCTTCTACCTAGTTTGGTGAGAGTTCTTATCAAGAATGGGAGTTGGGAGGCACCTGGGTGGCTCAGTCAGTTGAGCCACCAACTCTTGGTTCTGGTTCAGTTCATGATCTTGGGGTCATGGGATTGAGCCCCACATCGGGCTCTGCCCTCAGGGCAGTCTGCTTGAGATTCTCTCTCTTCCTCTCCTTCTGCCCTTCCCCCTGCTCACATTCTTTCTCTAAATAAATAAATTTTAAAATATCTAAAACAAAACAAAACAAAGAATAGGGTTGGATTTTTTTGAAATGCTTTTTTCTCTATTGAGATGATCATAAAGCTTTTATTGTATTAATACAGTGTATTAAATCAATTTTCTGCTGTTAAACTAAATTTGCATTCCAGGAATAAATCTCAATTGATCATGGTGAGCAACCTTATATTTTATATTTTGCTGGATTGGTCTGCTAATATTTCATTCAGGATATTGCATCTATGTTCATGTTGAATAGTGGTCTATAGTTGTCTTTTTTTTTTTATGTCTTAGGCTTGCTTTGGTATCAAGACAATACCACTTTATAACCAAATCGGTTAGAAAGCTTCCCTTGCTCTACTATTCTCTGAGACTATGAAGGATCAGCATTTTTTCTTCCTTAAATATTGATAGAATTCATCAGTGAAGTCATCTGGAACTAGACTTTATTTGGGAAGATTTAAAATGACTAATTCTTGTCTATACTTTTTATATGTCAATACTGATCTTCTATTTCTTCTTGAATCAGTTCTGGTAATTTGTATCTTTCTAGGAATTTGCCTTTTCCATCTAAGTTGCATAAAGTTGTTCATAATATTATTTTACAGCCCTTTTAATTGTAGAGTCTGTAGTGGCCTCACATTCATTCTTGATTTTGCTAACTTGTGTCTTTGCTCTTTTTTTTTTTTTATTGATCAGCAGGCCAATTATCAATTGCTTGATTGATAAATCAAGCTCAAAATAAAAACTTCATCGTCTGCTCTGCAATGATTGAGTTGGACCCTGTAAATACTTCTTTGCCAGCTGGCACCATGTTAAGTTTTGTCAGTAGAGAGCAGAAAAGGATCACTGGAGGAGGAAAAGGCTTCTCTTCCTGTTTCCAATGTGCAGGCAGACTCTTGCAGAAGAGACTCTGCAGACCAGGCTCCTACAACAGGCTTCCACAACTTAGTGCCTGGCTCCAGCAGCTCACAGTTTCCTACAGAACACATTTCTAGCAGCACATGGTTTCTGCAACATCCAATTCTAACAGTTTCCAGGGGCCTGTAGTATATGGCACCTCCCTGTGGGCAGTTCCTCTGGTATACCCTCCCCCCTCCCCCCCAGCCCCCAGCCAAAGTAGCTTTGCAGTGAAATGCCACTGGCATGGTACCTCTCTGAATGGTTTGCTTGCAATGTTCCAGAGGTCAACTTCACAGTTTCTTGGAGATCCGATGTACAGGCACAGCAAACTTCTGTGCCATTCAATAAAACGTGACTTCACTCCTTCCAGTGAGGTCTGGATTTCAGCCCTGAAAGGGGTTGTCTACCAGACCTATTTCTTCTTTGGGCACTCTGTCTCAGCTCTGGGGATTAATGGATGCTCTTTAAATCTGCTTTTCCTGTATTTTTAGAGTTCTTTTTATTTCTTACTAGTCAGTCCTCACCCACCCCCACCCAGTTCAGTCTCCTGTTACAGTTAATAACTCTTTAAACTTCTCCTGTTCAAATTACTAAGCAATTTCTGGTTGGATCTTAATTAGTATAGTCATTCTAGATAAAGGCTTATCAAGTTTTCTTTGTTTTGCTTTGTTTTTAAGGCTTATCAAGTTTGTTGACCTTTTCAAACAAAGTTGGCTTCACTGATGTTCTCATTCCTTTTCTGTTTCATTGATTTCTGCTCTGCTCTTTATTATTTCTTTCTTTGGGTTTGACTTTTCTTGCAGAGGTTGTCACTGGAGAACGTCACCTCACACTAAACTGTGGCAAGAAGCTCTCTTCAGCTTTAGTCATCAACCAGAGGCTGGCACACCTGATCTTCACAAAGAATGCTCTATAGGATGGCAGCATGAAACTTCTGTGTGAGGGCTTGAGTTACTGTAAGCTGAAAACTCTGGTGCTCGGATGCTGCAACATAACCAGGGATGGCTGCAATCATCTATCAAAGTGACTCCAACACAAATCAAGCTAATACACTTGTATCTGGGTCTGACACACATAGGAATTACTACAGTTCTTTGTAAGGTTTTGAAGAAACCACTGGGTAACCTGACATGTGTGTGGTTATGGGGATGTGCCATCACTTCTTTCAGTTGTGTAGAACCCTCGTCTGCCCTCAGCAGCAACAGAACCTGACCACACTGGACCTGGACCAGAATTCCTTGGTGGTATAGTAAAGATGCTGTGTGAAGCCTTGAAACTTCAAAATTGCCCCCTCTGGATGCAAGATAGGTGAATCTAATGCTCAAATCCAGAAGCTTCTGAAAGTCATCAAAGAAAGCAATCCACAACTAACTAATGAGGGTAACAACTGAGAGCCCAGAAAAAATAGCCCTTCTTCTCATGATTTCATTTTCTGAATGCCTATGTGAATTACTTCTTTATCACTTTAAACACTGCTTCTGTCTCCCTTCTTTCTCTTCTCCTACATTTAATTAAGTGTAGCTTAGATCTCCTCGTTTTATCCTTTTTCTCTCTTCTTTCTGTAGAGTCATTCATTCTACAATAAAGTAAGGAGAGAGTGGACTTTCTATGTGCTTTTTCAGTGATGTTAGTTGCTGGGCCAGATGTTATTTTAGCCTTGGTTTTGCCTCCAGCTTACATAAAACATGTACAAGGCACTTAAACTTGTTCCAGATGAAATGCCTGTACCTCCAGAAGAGAAGTAGAGGTGAAAAGATTCATGAGAAAAGAAAACAACAACAACTGGACATTTATTCTCTCACAGTTCTGGAGGTCAGAAGTCAAAAATCAAAGTATTGGGAAGTCTATGCTCACTCCAAAGGCTCTAGGGGACAATCTGCCTTTTCCTTTTTTTCCTTGTCTTTTCCAGCTTCTGGTGGATCCAGGCATTCTTTGGCTTGTGGCCGCATCACTCCAAACTCTGCCTCTATGGCTACATTGCCTCCTTTTCTGCATGTGTCTCTCTGTGTGTCTACTCAGATAATCCAGGATGATTTCTACATCTCAAGATCTTTAGCTTAGTTACATGTGCAAAAAAATCTTTTTTCAAGTAAGGTAACATTTACAAATTCTGGGGTTTAGGATATGGACATAACTTTTGGAGGGCTACTGTTGAACCCACCACATTATTTAATTTTAAACATATTTTAAACCCCACAGCTGATATTTTTGCCTCATACAGTCATTTCAACTAACCCATATTCTTTGCTTTTCATTCCTTGTTGCATCTTTGTGTTTCCTTCTGGGATAACTTTCCTTCAGCCTAAAGAAGAACCTTAAAATGTGGCTTGGAAGCAAATTCTCCATTTTGATTTATCTCTAAGTGTCTATTCTGTTTTCATTCTGGAAGAATATTTTTGTTGCGTAGAGAATTCTTTGTTGGCAGTTAATTATTTTCTTTTGGCATACTGGGGCATCTTGCCATTAATGACCCTGAGATCAAGACCTGAGCTGAGATCAAGAGTTGGATGCTTAACTGACTGAGCCACCCAGGTGCCCCTATTGTTTTCTTTTACATGAATGTTTTTAATATTTTCTATTTGATTTTAGTTTCTGCATCTTGACTCTGATATGTTTAGATCTGAATTTTTTAATTTAAATTTTAATATTTTTAACTAATCCCTACATCCAACATGGGGCTTGAACCCACAACTCCAAGATTAAGAATCACATGCTCCACCAACTGAGCCAGCCAGGCACCCCTATATCTGGATTTTTTTTAAGTTATCCTACTTTCACTGAATTTCATTTTATTGAAACTTTTTTTTTTAAAGATTTTATTTATTTATTTAACAGAGAGAGAGAGCACGCACAAGCAGGGGGAGCAGCAGAGGGAGAGGGAGAAGCAGGCTCCCCACAGAGCAGGGGGAGCCCGATGTGGGACTCGATCCCAGGACCCTGGGACCATGACCTGAGCCGAAGGCAGTCACTCAACCAACTGAGGCACCCAGGAGCCCATTTTATTGAATCTTAATATCCTCTATTATTTCTAGAAAAATCTAAGTCATTATCACTTTAAATATTGCCTCTGCCCCCTTCTTTCTCTTCTACATTTAATTAAATGTAGTTTAGACCTCTTCATTTTATCCTTTATGTCTTTCTTCTCCGCTTTTATATTTTCCATCTTGTTGTCTCTCCTTGCTTTATTCTGAATATTTTTAACAATTCTCACTTCAGTTGTATCTAATCTGTTTTTGACCCATTTTTCCTCTGATAAATTTCTGTATTGAACAGTTCTATATTTTCTATTGATTCACTTCCAAATTTGCAATGTATTTTGTAAAGACTTTGTGATTCAGGCAAAAAGCCCATAAATGAATGCCAAAATTATCAAGTAAAATTTGATGAGGAACAAGATATTTATATAGTCTCAAAATATCTTCTAATAGATTACTTAATAATTATAAAGGCAAAAATGGTAACTTTTGAAAAAACCTGGCAGATGCTTTCTTAACCAAGTGATAAAAGTTAACATCACCAATGATGGGACAAACTGACATCATGTACCTCCTAACGTGATGCAGTGAGGAGGATACAATATCACTTTTGTGGTATTCCTATAAAAAAATTCATAAGCTGAATCTAATTACAAAGAAACATCAGATGAACCCAAATTGAGGAACACTACAGAACAGCTCACCTATACTCTTCAAAAATGTCAACTGTCAGGAAAGACGAAGATGAGGAACTGTTCCAGATTAAAGGAAACTAAAGAGACATGACCAAATGCAACGTACGATTCTGGATTAGATAAGGGGACAAAAGACTTCTAATAATGGACATTATTGCGACAACCAGCAAATTCTGAGAATCAACTGGACATTAGGTACTATGTATCCATGATAAGTTTGTGAACTTGGTAACTTGACTGTGGTCATATAATTTCCTTTTCCTTACTGAAATATATAGCAGTAATGGGGCATGAGATGTACAACTTGTTCTCAAAATGCTTCAGAATAAATGATAAAGCAGAAAGTGGGAAAATGCTAAAAGTTGGTGAATTTGTGTGAACTTGTGTGTAGACGAATTTTTCTGTCCTAGTCATGCAGTTCTTATGTAAGTTTGAAATTATTTTAAGACAAAACATTTTTTAAAACTTACGATCTCAAGTTTTCTCATAGCTCCAGTTCTTTGTTGACATTTGAAAATTCAGCTATATCTCCACGAAGCTAGTAATAAGCACAGCTGTTACACAGGCTGTGGCGGGTAATTCCGGTGTCTGGAGTCCTGGTGGGCACTGGGTCAGCCCTTGTCTCTCCAGCCCTGCAAGTGCCCACAGCACAGTGCTACCTCTCAGGACATAAGAGACTCAGAATGCTGCTGCCTTCTGGGTCCTGGACCAAAGTGGGCAGTTCTGCCAGGGTAAACATCTTCCTATGCTGAGCATACCCCAGATTCAGACTGCATCCTGTTTCCCCACCCCAAAAGTCCACCAGAAGCATGATTCTGTCTCTCCACCGCTTCTTCCAGACTAGCAATGTCTCAGGGCTGAAGCAGTTCCAGCTCACTTCTCTGAGCTTCAATCATCTCCCTGATCAAGGCTAGGTAATTCTTCCCTCTCTTATGGACTATTGAATGCTTTTAAGAAACGCTAAGATCTTTTAAAAATATATTAACTTCACTTTTTTAGTTGTCATCAATGAGGGAGTTGGTCTGAATTATGGAGTTTGCCCATATTATAACCTGAAACCAAGTCTACCTTTCACTGTAACACAAAAAAGCTTTGCCTTAATTAAAAAAATTTGGATCAACATCCCAAATAAGCCAATCACACTCCTTCTCCTATTTCTTTGTAACTATAATTCACAAGATATACCTGCTAGGTAACTAAACTGGCAAGCTAACAAGCTTTAAATACATAGAAAGCTACTTTGAGAATTCCAGCCTTGGTTGGCCTAACCGGCACACTTGTAACATAAAACTAAGTCTAGGGTCTTCAGTAGTCATTTTCCATGAAAAGTTTAGCAATGTAAGATGAAAAAAAAAGTAAATAACTGGCTTGATAAAATAATCTAATGCTTAAGCAGAAAATTAGATTTTAAAAAAGACAATACCATTTACAGGATTTAGGGCTTCTTTCTGCATCACTGCTGAGTGCGATGATGTCATTTCCTCTTCCGTTTGCTGATTTTTTAAACTGTCATCGCTGAAGCTCTTAAGCCCTGAGAACTTCCATTCAGTGTAGCTCACCTGCTTCAGAAAAAGGATAACAAATATAACTACAGTTGGCCCTTGAACAACATGGGGGTTGGAGACACCAAAAATCTGCATGTAACTTCTGGACCCCACCCCAAACTGAACTACTAATAACCTACTGTTGACCAGAAACCTTACCAATAACATAAACAGTTGATTAACACATTCTGTATATGTATTATATACTATATTCTTACAATAAAGGAAGCTAGAGCAAAGAAAATATTAAGAAAATCATAAGGATTATCAGCAACAGCCAAACTATGGAAAGAGCCCAAATGTTCATTGACTGATGAATGGATAAAGAAGATGTGGTGTGTGTGTGTGTGTGTGTGTGTGTGTGTGTGTGTATAAATGGAATATTACTCAGCCTTCAAAAAGAATGAAATCTTGCCATTTACCACAGTGTAGATGGAGCTAGAGGGTATTATGCTAAGTGAAGTAAGTCAGTCAGAGAAAGACAAACACCATATGATTTCACTCATATGACGAATTTAAGAAACAAAAAGATGAACATATGGGAAGGAAAAAAAAGGAGAGGGAAGGAAACCATAAGAGACTCTTGATGATAGAGAACAAACAACAGAGAAACAATGAGGGTTGATGGAGGGAGGGGGGTGTGATGGGTGATGGGTATTAAGAAGGTCACTTGTGGTGATGAGTACTTGGTGTTACATGTAAGTGATGAATCACTAAATTCTACTCCTGAAACCGATATTACACTATAACTAACTAGAATTTAAATAAAAATTTGAAGAAAAAAAAAAGAGTAGAGCGAGCTCCAGAGGTGTCTGGAGGAATTCTAGTGTTTGCTGCAGTAACCTTATCAGACCATCAAGATGGCGATGCAAGTGGCCAAGAGGGGGAACGTTTGACTACCACCTGAAGTAAATCGGATTTCACGTATAAGAAATTTGCCATACAAAATCACAGCTGAAGAAATGTATGATATATTTGGGAAATATCGACCTATTCGTCAAATCTGAGTGGGGAACACACCCAAAACTAGAGGAACAGCTTATGTGGTCTATGATTCATCTCTGATGCCAAGAAGGCATATGATCACATTTCAGGATTCAATGTTTGTAACAGACACCTGGTGGTTTTGTACTATAATGTCAACAGGGCATTTCAGAAGATGGACACAGGGACGCCTGGGTGGCTCAGTCGGTTAAGTGGCTGCCTTAGGCCCAGGTCATGATCCCAGGGTCGTGGGATCGAGTACCCACATCAGGCTCCTTGCTCAGCAGGGAGCCCGCTTCTCCCTCTCTCTCCCTCTGCTTGTGCTCTGTCAAATAAATAAAATCTTTAAAAAAAAAAAAAGAAGAAGATGGACACAAAAAAGAAGGAAGAGCAATTGAAGCTTCACAAGGAGAAATACGGCATCAACACACACCCACCAAAATAAACGTTTTCTGCATTTTCATTTTAGACTAAAACCCATAAATGACCATCATCACCCTTCTCTTATTTTCAATTAATGCTGAATGTGTTAATTTCTTATTTGAGATTCAAAAGGACCTGCTTGAAACTTTGATACGTTAGAATATGTTATGGGAATAAACTTAGAACTTTTTGTAAAAAAAAAAAATTAGGAAAAAAAATCATAAGGAAGGGAAAATATATTCATAATACTGTATTTATTGAAAAAAACCCTCATGTAGGGGCGCCTGGGTGGCTCAGTCGTTAAGTGTCTGCCTTCGGCTCAGGTCATGATCCCAGGGTCCTGGGATCGAGCCCCGCATCAGGCTTCCAGCTTGGCAGGAAGCCTGCTTCTCCCTCTCCCACTCCCCCTGTTTGTGTTCCCTCTCTCGCTGTGTCTCTCTCTGTCAAAAAAATAAACAAAATCTTAAAAAACAACAACAACAAAAAAACCCTCATGTATAAGTGGACCTATGTAGCTCAAATCCATGTTGTTCAAGGGTCAACTGTATCTATATTATATAATCTCATAAAATTAATAATTATATATTAATGTAATTATCCAATATACATGATTATAACATATAATCATATTATTTAATCTTATGATAATATATATTTACAATCTCATATATTTTTAGGTGTTACGTAGTAACTTTAATCTAGTTTCCTATGAAGAACAAACAGTATCAAGCATATAGTAGGTGTTCAGTAAATACTTGCTCTTTAACTTATTTTGACTACAGTTGAGGTAGACTGGTAAAATTCTCAGTATAAATTGCAGAGTCCATAAGCTGTTGAATTAAATTACATTGAAATGAAGTGAACGGTTCAGAGTTTTATTAAACTACCTGTGTTTGAGGAAACACGTTGGCCACAAAAAAAAAAAAACCATGATTACTGCTGATCTTGGGTGTTTGCTTCTACCTGAGAATAATATATCTGGGGACCCTACAACCCATATTTTAATTTTGCAGGGTTTCTAAGGCCTTACTTGTAGTGTATTTCCGGTTAAGATGTTACGACTAAGATATTCCATTCTGTTCTTCCCTTGGATGCCTGTTCTTTTGCCATGTTTTCTTCTCGAGTAGCTTGCAACCTGGTGTTCCCTTTCCTTTCTTTCTCCTACCTGTGGAGGTTTTCGCTTAGCTTGATACTGGCCAGCTTCAATGGGAATCTCAGCAAATGCCATCTGGTCCTAAATAGAAGGATCAGAGACAGCCTTACAAGATGAGTGTTTAACAGCCTAGCATGAGACTTCATGCCTCTCCTGCCACAGAGCTGAGAGATGCCATCTTTCTTTCCTCCCAACAATAAAACCCAGGGTTTTGCTTCCTCAGTAGGCTCACGGCACTATGAGGGAAGCAGAATAAGTTTGCCAAACACGTGACATTCACAGAGGGCATTTCTTATACTACAATTTTAATACTGTTTTCCTCAACTATGCTCCACAGGATTGGTGGAGATCTGCTACCTGGGGAGAAAAGGAAGCCTTTTCCTCTTCAGATGAAATCTCTAAACTGTCCTTGGTGTCCTTCTCCTCAGGCTGAGCTTCTGGTTTCAGGAAGCTCTCTGGGGGTAGGTAGAAAGACTTCCAATCCAGTTTTGCCTCAACAAATCCATTGGGGTTCCCCGCAGGGTCAGTGAGGTTAAAATCACCTGAGAGACACAGAGACATTAATAAGATCAGACCACATTAAGTAGGCAAGAATTTACCAGAGCCTTATCTATTCCCCAATTTTGAATTTTACCATATTTTGTTTGTCATTAATTAACATCCATTACATAAGCATAATGATAACACACTCAGAAGTAACATAAAATAGTGAATATTAATATTCACTTAGAATATTTGTGGGGGAAGATGGGTATCTCCAGGTTTCAGGAAGGGATAGTCAAAAGACGTATGGAAAGGTATACCTTGCTTGTCATCAGTCACCCAGCCAATAAACATGATTGCATTATTATTATTACCTAATGCTTGCTAAGCCTTAGGTAGACCAAAGAAACCATTATCTACACTCAAGTGGTCCCTATTTCTAAAATAACAAAAGCCAAGAAAACTTCAGCAAAATGGCTTTTTCTAAATGCCAGACTTCTGATTTGTAACACTGATTAATTTAACAGATGGCCCACATTGCCTCTTCTTTTTGGCAAAGAATGAGTTGTGAGAAAAGTGTCGGGGTTTTTTTTGTTTGTTTTTTTTTTTAGCTCTTGTGGTATCAGAAGGAGGGAGGCCTCACACACTTTCTGGAACACCCAGAAGCTTGTTAAACATAGTTGGTACTGGCTACACCCAACCATACTTGGTAATGAGAGCACAGACACTCTTGCCTCACCCTCCCAATACCGGAACCAGAGAGTTGACCCTTCCTAAGTTCACATCAATTCCATATTGGGGAAAAAAAGATCCAAGAAATTTGCCTGTGTCGTGATGTGGCATGAAAGTCTAACTTGTGCTTAAAAGAAGCAAGAAAATTATGGAAGAGTATTAAGGACACAGCATATAGTCTATATCTAGTCATGTGCTAAGAAACAATAGGCCGTAAGTAAACACAAATACTGGGAAGCACTGCAGAGTCAGAAAAGGTTTGTTCAGAGATGGATGTATGGACTTCAGGTTGGTGGGTCTACCCACTTAAGAACCTTGCTTTTGTTGCCAAAAAAAAGGGAGGAAAAAGCAGAAGCAGCCAATGTTTCCATAGGATTAGTGAGGCACCAAGTCTTCTGCTCTGTTGCTCTTGACCATATTCTAAAATCCTGTCAGCAGGTTTTTTAAGAGAGACTGTTCCAAGCAAGTAATCAAAGAAAAGTAAAACACGAAGGCAATACTGGGCGGAGAGCATAAAGATGTAATAACCTCGATCTCCCACCTTTAATGGATTTGTTTTGTGCAAGGGGAAGCAAGGGCACTTGGACTCGGCCAAGGTATGAGCCAGCCTCTGAGTCTTCATCATCAAAAACGTACACAGACAGGGCCTCCCGCCTCAGATATTTATCCAGGTCAGAGGTCACAAGCACTGGAAATCGAGCCTGGTCTCTAAAGCAGGGATTGTTACTGGCTGGAATGATGGCAGTGTCGTGGTCAGAGAAGGTGAAGAAGCGGTACATGACGTATGGACTGGGCTGGGTTCCCAGCCGTCGACTCTGGAGGCCGTAGCATCTGATGATTTCCACCCGCAGCTCATTCTGATGCTTCCAAGTATCCGATCTGGACTGGAAAGATGTTGGTCTTGGATGAAGGAAAAGGGCAGCCTGAGAGAGCTGTAGCTGAAGCCCAGCACCCTTGATGAGGAAGAGCTATGACCTAAGGAACTGCTGAATTCTGACTGGGTCACAGAAACCTAATGACTTTCCCGGGCCTGCAAACTAGCTCTGGCAGATAGTTATTTGAGAGAGGTGCAGGCCCTCAAGCCTTATCTTAGAGAATGGAACAGAGAAGCTATTTTGTTCACAGGAGGGGGGAGGCAGCTAGCTCCAAGGGTACGATTTCATTTCAAACCCAAGCTCGACCAAGGGAAGAGTCTGGATTGGTTGTGGCACGACAGTTTTTCTCCTTCATTCACATTCAGCAAATACTTATTGAGAGTGGAAGACTGAGCTGTTCTCATGACCTGCTTGGCTGTGGCTCCTTTGAGATGCTTGGGCACGTCCTTTCTCTCACCTTATCCTCCCGCGCCTCCCAGGCTCCAAGCACACTGGCTGACAGGTAGGCCTGAGCTTTCTTTCGCTTATTGCCTGCTTGTAGGCTGGATCCTATGGGGAAGCGCAGCCTCATCCAGTATTCTAGCACCCCGAAGTCTTCTCCACCAGCTCCTGAATAGCAGAAAGTATGAAAGGCATGGACGATACGGATGGTGTGGCGAGGATTAAGAATAAAGGCTGAGGAAGAAAATGGGAAACCACCAGAAGAGCAACTATAGACTCTGGGAAATTCCACATTAGTCCTGGGAGCTGATGGGAAGCCAATAGCACTTACCAGTAAGTGTGGTAGAGCCACGGACTTTCTCCACAGTCTCCAGCACCCTCTCAAAGCAAATCCATCCAGCTGCAAGGGTGTGGTGCTCACTGGCTACAGCCTGGTGTAGATCAAGCTGGGCTGAAGCCCCGTGAAGGTAGTTCAAAAAAAGGGAATCTATTTCCACCACATACTGGGAGGTGAAGTCATAGAGGGGCTGTGGCCCCACAGCGAGTGGGGTACAGTGGGTTTCAAAATCATAGAAGGAATAGGTGCAGAAAGTGGTAGGTTGAGTGTCTCCAGCCTGAGCCAGGGCAGCAGATGTCAGGAAGGCCTGGTGGATGTGTAGTTCAAAAAGATTTTCACTCTGATGCAGCAGAGAAATGTCCACTTTCCCCTCATCTCCATGAGCTGGCAGGGTTTCCAGACATAAGGACAACTGTCGGGTGCCATAAGCCACATCTTTGAGCTGTTCTAGAGGGAAAAGAAAACTGCCTATCCATTAAAGCATAGACAGCTCTTCCTTAGGATAAAATAAGTTGGACAGAAGGAGAATAAAAATCATGATGAAAGTCCAAATTGTTGATGATTTCGAGACACCATGTAATTCAAAAAGAAAAGCAAAAGAATGACAACCAGGAGCTTTGAATTCTGACAGTCAACTAACTCAAGGCCTGCTTTAGAGATAAGGTACAAAATGAATGATTGGAAAGTAAATGCTAAGCTCAGGAAAACACTGGAGGCACAATTTCATCTACAGATGTCAGTTTTATCTTACAGCAAAGTCCTATGAATTAATTGTTAATTCCAATAGAGAAGCACTAGATACACAAAATAGGAGTATTTCCAAAAATTTGGGATGTGGGTCATCGAGAGAATACCAAGATATAGTCATGGTGCCTACTACATGACATCGAGCTCCACCAAGAAATGATTTCCCTTCCAGCCAGATCAGTCACAAGAATCTTCACTGTTAAGAATTTAGTACATTTTTTTTTATTTTTTTTTTAAAAGATTTTATTTATTTGTGAGAGAGACAATGAGAGAGAGACAGAGAGCATGAGAGGGAGGAGGGTCAGAAGGAGAAGCAGACTCCCCGCCGAGCAGGGAGCCCGATGTGGGACTCGATCCCGGGACTCCAGGATCATGACCTGAGCCGAAGGCAGTCGCTTAACCAACTGAGCCACCCAGGTGCCCTTCACTGTTAAGAATTTAGTTTCAACATAAGAAGGCAAAAAAAAAAAAAAATCCACTGTAAGTCAAAGAGTAATGGAGTAAAAAGTTGGAGAGGAAACTTACTGGAAATAGGTTGAAAATACTGGCAAAGGGATGAAAAGATATGTAAGACAGTCTATCAAATCTGTGCATTACCTCCCATGTCCAACCAATCAGAAACTTTGATATATAGTCTGCTTCAAATCGGGGAGTTATTTGAATCATCACAATGTGTGTCGATGATGAAATTCCTATACTGAGAGTTAATGTAGTAGAATAAAAATATTTTGAACACATCAGAATGTCTTCCTGCCCAAAATAAATGGAGTACAAAAAGATTAGATTAATGGTTTCTTAACTGATAAGATTAACGTAACTAAAATAGATTTAAAGTTTTGCATTCCATGACCCAGGGCTAAAAATCTTAGCATATAAAGAAATTCTACAAATGAATAAAATGCTATCAAGAAACAGGTAAAGGACAGAAACAGGCAATTCTCAAAAAAGACACAATACAAATAACCGGTAAACATATGAAAAACTCTTTGATCTTACCAGGAATGAAAGAACTATAAGTTAAAGCAAATGAGTCTTCAGAAGTAGATAAGAGGATTTATCCTGTACTGTCCCAGGAGAAAGACCCTGAATCTGAAAGACATGAGAATTTCAATCCAAGGGAGGATTTCCTTTGTTACATGGCAGTGACTTTTTAACAGACTGGCCCTGGCATGGATAAATCATGCCCCAGCATGACCCACCTCCCTTCACTCTAGCTCCGCGCTAAGTAAGCTGCTTCCTGATTCTGCTTCCCAGAGAGAGGGCTGCCCTGAACACTAGTTCCAGATCATCTCATGGCAGCAATGAAACAGCCACTATCATAAAATAATAAATGAACATTCTGATTTAAATATCGATCTTTGGTGAATTTGGTTAGTGTGAGTCAGGTCTCTGAAAACTGAGTCTAATAACAAAGCCAACATTCTTGACAGGCGAGACTGAGACCAGCTCCTGGTCAGCAGCGACTGTCCTAAATAAAGGAAGTACCACACTGAAATTTGCACACGTGTCCGGCCAGCTGCCCTGTCACGTCGACATCCTCAAAGCGCAACAAAGAACTGAGAGACTTTTAGAGAGAAGTCACAGAAAAGGATGATGAGAGATGAGTGATAAAGCTCTATATTGGCCTGGGTTGAGGAAACAACCTTGAGAGAGGGAGTGTGTTACGCCAACCTGGGGGCCCACAGTGATATGCTCTCAATTCTCAAAACAGATTCAGCAATTGCTGGGCCCTGCTGAAACTCTTCAGAGGAATCAGAGGAAGACACTGCCACGAAAGAGGAAAAGAAGCCGCTACGCATGTGTGAAAACACCAAAGACGGTAGGACGAAGAACAGGAGGGATGTGTCTCCTGCCGAGACGCAAAAGGCCGCCTTCCAGGCAGGTGCACGGAGGCAGCACAAGCATGAGCCACGTGACGGGTCCAAGATGAGAACAAAGGACTAAGACTTGCCGGATAGCGGAAGGCCTTGGCTTCTCAAAATACCTTCCAGCTGATTGATACGATTGTTCTTGAGGTCTAGCAGTTGATTCAACCGCTCCAGTTTTTCTTTGTGATCTTTACTTTCATTATCGGCTTTTGTCATCATCGCCTCCAGTTCCTCCTGAAACAAAATAACGTCTGAACTTTTCTATCTCAGTGGCCCAGCACCAAAGGGCCCAGATAAAAAGGTGGCACTTGTTCGGGTGAAGGAGACTCTGCTATCACCTTAACAGGGCAGACTGAGCCACTAGAAAAAATGCTGGGGTCATCACAGACTCTTCCGGGACCAGTTGTGCTTCTGGTGCCAGAGGACAACAGTTTCCTGATTCTGGGAAAACTGGAACCTGGAGCTTCGCAGCTGCCCTTTTCATTAGCTGGGCCCTTCACCAGCTTCTACGCCAAGGTGCCACAGGCCCATGCGAGTCCTCCAGTGCGTCAAAGGACGGCACGTTCTGTGTTGCACGGGGCAGCGTGTCGCCTCGGGGCAGCATGTCGCCTCGCAACAGCCCTGGACACTCGGGCCTCACTTAATTCCCAGTGTGGAAGTGGTCCCCAAGTGCCCATTTATCTACCCCCTTCCTGTACCACCTTTTCTTGCACCTGATAGCACACGTTGATTTTGCGCTGCAGAAGGAGCATGTCTCTGGTCTTTTCTAGTTCCAGCGTGGTCTCCGCTTGCGACACTTGCAACTCACTTAGCATCTGGGACAGTTTCTTTTCTTCTTGGTTTTTTGGTTCACAGGGCTATCGGGAGAAAAGCATGGGTAAAAGGGAACAGAAATATGAGAGGCACGGAAATAACTATTCTCAAAGCAATTGTTGGTAATAGGAAAATCCCAGCAGCAGGAGTGAAAGGGGACTGTGGCACTTCACAAGGGCTTTCTCCCCTAGTTGCTCATGTTCAGGAGCGGCAGTAAGTTACACAGCCTCTGATAGCTTGTTGGCTCTTCTGCAGATCATTGCAAGTCCTCGTCTGAAAAAGCATTCTAAATGCTGTGAGCTGTAAAGGGTGGGAAAAATGTGTGGAACTCATGAAGCTATCTGTATTCTCAGCCTTCTCACCGCCTTCTGAAGACTGCCCTCAAGCATCGTCTCTTCCAGGGGTATTTGCCAGACATCCCACTATACAGGGGATCCCTCTGTTCAGGGGACTTGCTTGATTAGGCATGCTCTTACCTCTGTCGGAGTGGTCTCCTGGAATAGAGCTGGGTGAGTGGCTGGTTCAGATTGCCTGTCAAGAGACTGGGAAATTATCTCTTGATTTTGGAGGATCTCTACTTCCTGCTTATGCTTCTGAAGCAGACTGGTGACTTTAAGCTGCAGATCCTTGTTTTGAGCTGGGGGGGGGGGAATCATCCAGAAAGTTGAAACTCTGTAGTTATCAGAAATCAAGCTTAAAGTTGGACCAAGTGCAAATTAAATTTTCCCACTGATGTTTAATTTATTTTATAAATTTACTTTTAGAGAAGCAATTTCATCTTATTTCTACAGAGGGGCTCCAGCTTATTGACCCAGTAAACTGAGCTGACACTTGGGACTCCAAAAACAAAACAAAAAACACCTGCAGAACTGTAAAAAAAAAACAACACAACCACCACCAGCAGCAAACAGAGCCACTTGACTGACTGGGATAGTGCGAACTTTTTTTTTCTTTTTTTAATTTTTACTTTAAGTAGGCTCCACACCCAATGTGGGGCTTGAACTCACAACTGTGAGGTTAAGAGTTGCATGCTCTATCAACTGAACCAGCCAGGCACCTCTACAGTGCAAACTTTTCTTTTTTAAAAAGATTTTATTTATTTATTTGAGAAAGAGAGAGCATGAGGTGGGGGGGAAGGGTAGAGGGGGAGGGAGAAGCAGACTCCCCACTGAGCAGGGAGCCTGACACAGGGCTCGATCCAGGACCCTGAGATCATGACCTGAGCCAAAGGCAGATGCTTAACTGACTGAGCCACCCAGGTGCCCCTACAGTGCAAACTTTTTGCTAGCACCAGCCAAACCAGTATCTCCCCAACTCCATTCTGACTTCCATGCTATCGGTTCCCTGTGACACCTCCCACTCCCACCCTGACCTGGAGGGAGGGAGAATGGGCATTTGGGCATTTCTGCATGCATGTGTTTGGGTGGGTGGGTATGGGTGTTTCAGGGAAGGAAGGTTTAGTGATCACTTCATTATCATGCATTAGAGGAGGGAGTTTAGATTAGATTATCCCAAAGTCTTTACAATACTTTGTTTGTATCTCATATATACTACAAGGTCCTTAGCATGTGCTCCTGAGCTTTATCCCTTTATGGTTCCTAACTCCATTTTTCTTGATATTTCTTTTCCTTCACTCTTCTATGTGAATATATTAGAATCTAATGAAATCTAACCTTGATATGACTAAATATTAAGGTCGAACCTAGCAAAAAGAAGTGAGACAAAGGTCTCTTTGACAGTATTTAAAAATCTTCAGAATAACTATCTACTGTGATTCCGAGTTAAGACGGGAAAATGGAAGTAGTAACCAAGAGCAGTAATTTGCTTCGCAGTTTGAGGGGCTAAAACAAAACAAAACAAAAAGCAAGACTCCCAGTCACCTCTAAAATAATTGGTAAGGATAAAAGGCATTTTCAACAAATAAAGTGAATGTTTAAGAACAATAAATTTAAGGGGCACCTGGGTGGCTTAGTTGGTTGAGCATCCGTTCAACTCTTGATTTCGGCTCAGGTCATGATCTCAGGGTCGTGAGATTGAGCCCCGCCTTGGGCTCCATGCTGGGCATGAAGACTGCTTAAGATTCTCTCTCTCTCTCAAAAAGCAAATAAATAAATAAAAACAATAAATTTAAGAGTTGTCATCCTCTCAAATGAAAACTCATTACATATAATAACTTCTGCATGTGAGGTAGGTGTCATGCTTTCTTGATTGTAAGTCTGATCTGATTGCCAGCTTGCCAGTGTTCTTATTCTAGTTATCCCTGATCCACACAAAAACAGGATCAGGTGAGGGGATTAAAGGGGACTGGAGAGGACTGGAGAAATGCTGGCCCAAGTTCCCTTCTCCCACACCAGACATAACGGATGCCTCACTTGAGAAAGGTCTTCACAGCCTGACCTACCTTTCTCTCTGGACAGCTGAAGTAAGACTTTCCTCTTCTCCTCCAGCTCAGTGTCCAGCTGGTCCTGCAACTGAGAGACTCTCTGCTGTAGCTGTTCTCCTACGAGCTCAGTGCTCCAGTGAGGCTGATTACTGCTGTCCAGCATGCTGAGTATGGGAAGCAAGTAAGGAGCGAGGAGAGAGTTGGATAAATACTCAAAGGTGTGTGATGTGACGTCTTTGTAACACAGTTTCAGCATCTCCTGGGCCTAGCACATCATTCATTCCCCTACATGTTTTTTCTGTCCCTGCTTTCTCTATAACTGTCATTTACCAACTGCCTTGGAACTTGTGGGCTCTACTGAGGAGTTCCTTAGTATCACTTCTGTTTAGGTCTCAGATAACCCACTGAGCAAACAACCCAAGTCACATCTATTTCCCAAGGAACTTGTCCAGCATGATGGCTTTCTTCAGGTACTGTGTACCAAGACATTCTCAGGCCTGCTGAATTAAAAATGAGGAACAGGGAGGGCACCTGGCCGGCTCAGCCGGAAGAGCACGTGACTTGACCACGGGGATGTAAGTTCAAGCCCCATGTTGTGTGCAGAGGTTACTTAAATAAATAGACTTTCAAAAAAATGAGGAACAAAATATTCCTCTTTTCCTTACTCCACTCCTCTATCTACCTTCACTAATGGCTGGTTTAGAGAATACTTGCCTTTGAACTAGATTATAAATTACTACACTGAAGGGCAGGAACTACCTTTTTCAATGACTGTACCCTGCACACCATTGTAACTAGCTGTCAGGGCAGACCCATTTTGAGTGTAAAACGTATGGTCTGTCTTTGATTATTTACATAAGTGAAGTGACATTGATAATCAAGCTATTACTTCTGCAGATGTCTTTTTCCTATTTTTCATTTGAATTAATGTGGTCTAAAAACAACTTGCTTAAGACAGTTTTAAGAGTTCTGGGGGCACCTGGGTGGCTCATTCAGTTAAGCATCTGACTCTTGATCTCAATGTCGTGAGTTCAAGCCCTGCAATGGGCTTCACGCTGGGCATGGAGCCCACTTAAAAAAAAAAAAAAAGTTCTGGGTGCCTGAGTGGCTTAGTTGTTAAGCGTCTGCCTTCGGCTCAGGTCATGATCCCAGGGTCCTGGGATCGAGTCCCACATCGGTCTTCCTGCTCAGCGGGAAGCCAGCTTCTCCCTCTCCCACTCCCCCTGCTTGTGTTCCGTCTCTCGCTGTCTCTCTCTGTCAAATAAATAAATAAAATCTTTAAAAAAAAAAAAGTTCTTGGCACTTCCTAGCCATACATTACATGATGATCAAAGCAGATAACATTCTGAGTGATGAAGGGAAGGGGCTAATAGTAATGTTTGCTACATAGACTCTTCAAAGTGAATAATCCCCACACCACTTTGTTTCACTGAGTTGAAGAGCATCAGATATTCCCAGGATGCTCCCATACCATCTCCCCAATCTATCCCCTACAGCCTTTAACTGAGACAGAAGGCATATTTAACTTTTTTTTTTAAACTTCCAGGTATTTTATTTTTAAAGATTTATATATTAGAGAGAGAGAAAGCGGGGGAGGGGTGGGGAGGGCAGAAGGAGAGGGAGAGAGTCTTAAGCAGACTCCACCCTGAGTGCAGAGCCCAACGTGGGGCTCAATCTCATGACCCTGAGATCATGAGCTGAGCCGAAACCAAGAGTCGGACACTTAACCGACTGCACCACTCAGATGCCCCTAGACTTCCAGGTATTTTAAATTTCAAACTTAATAAATGAATATATGCTTGTTGTAAAAAATTAAAATGATACAGAAGTATATAGATTAAAAGTGAAGGTGCCTCTTTGCCCTACTCCAATCCTTTCATCTCATGAGAGGTTTGCAGATTCTCTCTCTCACCCGGGCACATCACACACATCCCCCATAAATAAGTCAGAGTTAACATATTCTGTTACAACTTGACTTTTCTTTTAATAATATATCTTAGACACATAAGTCTACCTCATTTTTAACAGCTTCATAGTGGGGATGCAACATTATTTAATCTCTATTAAAGGAAATTTGGATGTTTCCACCTTTTTTTTTTACTATTAGTAACAACGTAGTAATTAACATTCTTATTATATTATATCTTATTATTATATGGAACTGGAGGAGATTATGCTAAGTGAAATAAGTCAAACAGAGAAAGACAATCATCATATGGTTTCACTTACTTGTGGAACATAAGGAATAGCATGGAAGACATGAGGAGAAGGAAGGGGAAAATGAAGGGGGTGGAAATCGGAGGGGGAGAGGAACCATGAGAGACAATGGACTCCAGGAAACAAACTGAGGGTTTTAGAGGGGGGTGGCGTATGGGTGAGCCCAGTGATGGGTATTAAGGAGGGCACGTATTGCATGGAGCACTGGGTGTTATATGCAAACAATGAATCATGGAACACTACATCAAAAACTAATGATGTACTGTATGGTGACTAACGTAACATAATAAAAAAATTATAATAGAAAAAAACATTCGTATTATACATTATCTTTGCAAATACATGTATATGCATGTTTAACATTTTTTTTAAAAGACTTTAATTATTTATTTGACAGAGAGAGACACAGCGAGAGAGAGAACACAAGCAGGGGGAGTGAGAGAGGGAGAAGCAGGCTTCCCGCTGAGCAGGAAGCCCGATGCGGGGCTCAATCCCAGGACCCTGGGATCATGACCTGAGCCGAAGGCAGATGCTTCACTGACTGAGCCACCCAGGCGCCCCCATGTTTAACATTTTGATAGATAGCACCAAATTCCCTTCTAAAAAGACCGTGCCGATTTATATTCTCACTAACAGTGCTGAGTACCAGCTTCCGCTTATCCACACTAGGCATTGTTTTAGAATGTGAGGGCACTTTTCTATAATTGTCTTTTATAACAAACAGTGCTCTGGGACCCAAACTTGTTACTCACTTTTCTAAGAGTTTTTCATAATTGTCATTCAGCAAGTTTCGTTCTTTTTCCAAATCTTCAACTCTCTCCTGAAACTAAGAATGACAGTAGGGTGCCTGAGATAAAAATTGTAACACCTGTGGCCTTGCACGTCTCCCTTCTTCTGTGGCAGAGTGGGGCTTGGGTAGAAGGCTTTCTATGTTCATGTCTCATGTCTATGAGGAGCCATTCAACTAGAAAGACTTGAACCAACTGGTGTGATAGAAACTTTTACTGGAAATAATGAGGATTCTCTGTAGCAAATTTTCATGGTGTCTGGGTTTCTACTGTTAAGGAAGCAGCAGAACATTGTAATACAGCAAAAACTTAAAAAAAAAAAAACCCTATAAATCCCAGTTTTCTCCCTAATGGTGTAATCTTGAGCAATTATTTAACCACTTAGAGCCTCATTTTTCTCATTGGAAAAAATGAAATAGCCATAATGTTGCTAAGATATACTTTTTAACATCTCTGAAATTGAAATGTAACTTAAAACTGATGCCACCTTTCAATTATTACTATTATTTACCTCCTTCAGTGTCATCTGCAGGATGGACACATCTTCCAGTTGGCTCTTCAAGCTCACAGCCTTCTTGCTCTGCTCCTTCAGTTCTGCCTTGAGCTCATTCACTTGCCCAAGGAGGGCATCATGGGCTGCACTCAGGATTCCCTGATTCTGGGGCAAAAGGAAAGTTGCCCTGGGAATGGTCATATCACTCAGCAGAAATATCTCAAGATACTGGCAACCCTAGCATTCCCTAGTGGATGTCAAGAAGAATGGCTTTGATTAATGGCATGGTGCCTTTGCACTGTAAATTGGCCTTGTTTATCACTCTAGCGTTGCTCAAGAAGTATCGTTTCCTGTCAGTGAGAATTTTCCACTCCAGGAAACTGATGCATAATTGGAGCATGAATTTTCCCAAGGTTCAAATTAAACTCTGGCTCTAAGTGAAGTGATAACTTTTCATGGCTGCCTTTATGTTCTAAGCTATCTGAATGCTTCTTAGGGTGATACACTCTTTCCTTTGCACCTAGCAAAGTGATATGCTAACTCAGAAGTGTGCAGAAGTTCTCTGGTGAGGAACAGCTGTGGCTGTTCATGCTGGGAACTCTGCTTTAGTAACTCTTCATCATGGCCATTCACCTGGCTTCACCTGCACCCCATTCACAGGAGTGAATGGCGCTGAACATTTAAGAACATCAGAGGAGGTATGCAACACCTTTGTTATATTTCATCACCTTATACATGCTAGAGGAATACTCTTAGGAATTTCTGAACAAATGCTATATAATTCTCTCTAGCAATAGGCTGAAAAATACTATTCCATGTATTTCAGATCTCATATTTCAGTTTAATGAAAATGGCACAGTAAATATATTCTGATCATAGTAATAGGACATTTGTCTTAATAGAAATTATAGGTCACAATAACTTCGATTTACTTGGCTAAATTCTGGTGTTTTTACTTGAAGATTAACACAAATTTTGAGGGGGGGTTATTACTCTTACTATTAAGAAACAGAGATTTAAGCAATCTTTATTAAATACCTTCTGGAGCAGAGTTTCATATGCCTGAAAGAAAGAAATACATATTATTCTACTGATTTATCAACTCAGTATTTGTTTTGATATTTATCTCTGTAAAGCAAATGTTTAAATGGTTAGTTTAAGAGATATTTTAAAATTCTCTGGGGCGCCTGGGTGGCTCAGTCGGTTAAGCCACTGCCTTCAGCTCAGGTCATGATCCTGGAGTCCCAGGATGGAGTCCCGAGTCAGGCTCCCTGCTCGGCGGGGAGTCTGCTTCTCCCTCTGACCCTCCCCCTTCTCATGCTCTCTCTCTCTGTCTCATTCTCTCTCTCAAATAAATAAAAAAAAATCTTAAAACAAAAAACAAAAAAAAAGAGATATTTTAAAATTTTCATAAATCAAGTCAGTTTGTGTACTTGTTTACTAATTGCTGCTACTTTTCCCTTGCCCTAGCTTGCCAGGAAGTCTGTGAACACAGCAGATGACACAATTTCTTTAAAAGGCATGAAGGGTCATTTATTCACATTTGTATTGCATTTGGTGGAATATCCAAGAAAAAGAGTTATTTTCAGAGTAGGTGCTATCTCTTACTCAGCATGCTTCAGAGAGTTTTCTTTCCAGTTTTAGAAACAGAAAAAGCAACACTAACCAAACCAACTACAACAGCTGTTACTGGTTGAGCAGGACTGTGTGTTTCATTATCTGTTACATTATGATCATTATAATTATTTCACATATATTATTTTTTAATCCTCACAGCATATCTGAGAGGTAGTTGTTATTACTGAAACTTTAAAAATGAGACACCCAAAGCTCAGAGAGTTAAGTCACTTGCTCAGAGTCATCGGGCTATCAAGAGGCAGAGGCAGAACTTTACTTCAGCCTGTCTGATTCCAGAGTCTGTGCTACCGACCACCATATTTTACTGCTAAGGGATTAAGAGAAGGCAAACATGTTTAAGTATGTGTGCAAGAAACAATGACTAGAAAGACTGCTGGAGAAAAACAAATTGTAAAACCTACATTTTAAACAACTGTGGGTGAGTACTCACCATTTTAGGTCATCTCTACCACTACCACTAACATGGGTAAGGATTTAGAATGGCTTGCTTCCTTTTTTCCTTTAATGCAATGGAGGAATAGATGGGGTTTTAAAAAAAAATGTAATCCTACAAATATTGCTATTTGCCCATACAATTTTAAATTATCTTCCTTCCCATGTTTCCACATTCTGTAAGTGCTACCAAAATTAACCAAGTCAAACGAATACAAGCATATGCATAGTTCTCTCCAAAACACAGGTTTGGGGGTTGACCTTGTGAAGATGCCTTTCCTCCCCATCAGAAGTACCCAGGGCAGTGCTAACTGTAGCCAATCTAGATGAATGACACCACCATCATCTTCTTGCCCACGCTAGAGACCAGGAATCATCTTTCATTTCCCTTTTTTCTCCACCCATTCCCTTTTGGTGATGAAGTCCATTCTTCTACTTTCTGGAAGTTCCCAATACAGCCCTTTCTTTGTGGGCCTCTCTCACTGCCTTGGTTGGGACCCTTAGCTGTCTCTCTTAGAGCACTGCAGTCATTTTTTACCTGATCACTTCACTTGTACCAGCCAATCTTTATTATTCACTCCACTGCCAGATGATCTTTCCTTCCGGGTTTGTGATTCTGATAACTCTGATACAAGTTAACCCCATTTAATTCCACCTTAGAAGGCAGGGCTTGAGCCTTCTTCCTAATAGAGAGATAATGGAAGTATTGGGAAAAGAATGGACTCGGAATTACAAGGCTTGGATTTGAATATCCCCTATAAGTTGTGTGACAATTTAATTTCTCTCAGTTGTGGTCTTCCATGTATATAATGGAGAAAATAATACTGACTCTTTTCCCCCCCATACTGGCGACAGACAGTCCCCACTGGAACTGGATGCCTGATTGGGCCCAGTAGCGCTTCTCAAATAGCCAAGGACGCCAGGGGTCTGAGATTTGAGGGCCCCAGGCCATCCCACACTGCCCTGCCCTGGCAGCTCACCTCTTGAACTTCTGTTAATTGTGCTTTTGTTGCTACCAATGAAGTATTCCTTTCATGTAAGAGCTTCTTAAGCCGAATCAGCTCTATATTCTCCTTAATGGAAGCTCTGGAGAAAGAAGACAATGCTAAGACATTCTGTGAATGGACAGAATTAAACACCCTTCCCCTCAATACTGTACCAAATAAGAATATCTTCCTCTTGCCTCTTGCCTTTTTACCTTGCCCACAGCATACCAGAAGTAGGAAGTGAATGTATACCCCAATAAATAATCTCCTCTCTCCCATTTCCCCTCATATTAGCTGGGATTCAATACAGACACCACCAACCTTAAACCCTGTGTTATGAGAAAACATAAGAGCTATTTTTAAAATTAGGGTGCTCACAATTTCCCATAAACCTTATAAAGTCCAGCTGAGTCTGAGTCCTGTTTCCTTAGAGAAACCAGAAAGGTATAGATATGGAGGGAAACACAAGGGAAGATTATTTCTCAACCTAGGAGACCATGTTTTCTTTATTATTTCTAAGGTATTGAGGTAGATTTGGGTTCATTAGGCTCTATCTCAATGATTCCCAGTCTTAGCTGCTTCTTAGAATCATCTGGGGAAATCTTTATAACTATAGTGCCTGAAGTCCACCCCCAAATAATTGAAAGGGAATCTCTGGGGTGGGGCCCAGGTTTCTGTGGGTTGGTTGGTTTGTTTTTTAATTTTCAGGATCTGTTTATATGAAATAAATTATAAGATACACAAGCTTTTGATTTTATTTAATTAATTAATTTATTTATTTTTGTGTGGTATGTTTTATATTGTTTTACCTCATATATCATTATTTTAATATTATCTTTTTTGGAATAGAACATTTTTTCTCCTCCAAATTTTTATCTAAATTCAAGTTAGTTAACATGCAGAGTAATATTGGTTTCAGGTGTAGAATTTAGTGATTCATCACTTACATACCACCCAGGGCTCATCACAAGTGCCCTCCTTAATCCCCATCACCCATTTAATCTACCCCACCCACCCACCATCCCTCCAGGCTTCTGTACTTTTAAAAGGTCTCCAGATTGAAAACTATGTCTGAATATGGATGTTTACAGCAGTTTTATTCATAATGGCCAAAATTTGGAAGCAACCAAGATGTCATTTGTAGGTGAATGGATAAATAAACTGTGGTACATCCAGACAATGGAATGTTATTCAGGGCTAAAGGAAATGAACTATCAAGCCATGAAAAGACATGGAGGAAGCTTAAATGCATATTGCTAAGTGAAAAAAGCCAATCTGAAAAGACTGTATAGGGCGCCTGGGTGGCTCAGTCGTTAAGCGTCTGCCTTCGGCTCAGGTCATGATCCCAGGGTCCTGGGATCGAGTCCCACATCGGGCTCCCTGCTCCGCGGGAAGCCTGCTTCTCCCTCTCCCATTCCCCCTGCTTGTGTTCCTGCTCTCACTATGTCTCTCTCTGTCAAATAAATAAATAAAATCTTTAAAAAAAAAAAAAAGAAAAGACTGTATAGTGTATTTTTCCAACTATATGACATTCTGGCCAAGGTAAAAATCACAGAGACAGTAAAAAGATCAGTGGTGCCAGAGGTAAGGGGTAGGGAGGGATAAAAAGGCAGAGCACAGAGGATGTTTAGGGCAATGAACCTACTCTCTGTGATACTACAATGATGGATACATGTTTATACATCTGTCCAAACCCATAAAATGTGTAACACCAAGAGTGAACCCTACGGGGCGCCTGGGTGGCTCAGTTGTTAAGCGTCTGCCTTCGGCTCAGGTCATGATCCCAGGGTCCTGGGATGGAGTCCCACATCGGGCTCCCTGCTCGGCGAGAAGCCTGCTTCTCCCTCTCCCATTCCCCTTGCTTGTGTTCCTGCTCTCGCTGTCTCTCTCTCTCTGTCAAATAAATAAATAAATAAAATCTTTAAAAAAAAAAAAAAAAGGGTGAACCCTATGGTAAACCATGGACTTTGGATGATAATGATGTGTCGGTATGGGTTCATCCACTATCACAAAAACACCACTCTGGAATGGGATGTTGACAGTGTGGGAGGCTGTGGGTATGTGGTATATGGGAAATCTCTATACTTTCTGCTCAATTTTTGCTGTGAATCTAAAATTTCTCTAAAAAATAAAGTCTACTTTTAAAAAAGTTCTCCAAAAAAGAATGATGCACAGTGAGGACTGAGAACCCCTATCTGGTGATGAGGATGAAAAAGTTTTCCTTCTGTGATGTGAAACAGCAAATCTTCCAATGTACATAAACATTCTCTTCAGGTGAATCCATTTCTTAACCCACATGGGAATTTAAGATTTCTCAGACTGAATTTAAGACTGAATTTAATCCCAAGCATTCTCCTTTCCTCTGCCAGAGTTAATAAGAATAAAAATCTCTTACTTTTTCAGTTCATATGGTTTGAGGTATGGAATGCCACACTCTTACCGAAGTTCCATGGCCTTCTGAGCACACTCCAAAGAGCTTCTCTGTTCAAAATCTTCATCTTTGGACCACATTTTCTCAGGAGACTTGGGTGGTTCTTCCACTAGCATAGTATTGCTGGTCATAACATGAGCACTGTTAGGCATGCACAGACCAATGAGTTTAGTCATAATTATGACTTTACTGAAAGAAATTACATTCTTAGAATTAGGAACATTAACCACAAAAAAGAAGAAGTAGAAATTGCTCTTACAGGGATTTAGAACTGAGTTCTCACATGTATGAAGAGGAGTTATTAATTTGGTATGTGTGATGGATAATCTTACAAAATACAGCTCTCAAGTGTCAAACAGAAATATAAATGAATTACGACCTAAGGGAGAAAAATAGAAAGGGAAAGAGAGGGAATACCTTCACCTAGGAAAGGGCTTTTATTTGCCTTTCCTTCAAAGACAGAGAGATGCTTATTTCCCATTTTTAAGCAACGAAGTTGAAATTTGACCTACGGCTGACTTTCATCTTCTCTGATTATGCTGGGAAGACTTGAAAATGCCAACATTCACTTGTTCCCTAAATGATGCATTTCCAATTAAAGCTGAAAGAGTAACAGTGTAGTGTAAATGAAAAAAACTCACAGTTCACTGGATATTTCACCTCTGGTCTTCCCATTTGTCACATGGTCCTTGAATGTGGGAGGGGCTGTGTAGCTCAGCCTGTCACTAGGCCCTGAAAGTTTAGACAGAAGATGAAGACCCTGCAACAGATTTCTCCAGAACACCAAGTGCTAAAAATAGGTAGCCTTGAGACCTGGGGGAAATCCCCATAAGGACCACTGATCCCAGAGGAGAGGTTCTCAGTCTTTACTCTTGCATAGATGTGCAACTACAGACTTACTAAGCCAGCGGGACTATAATCTGCCAAGTAAGGGAGTATAAGTGGGAAGAAGAAGGGTGCAAAGAAGAAAGGGACTGTGTGTCTAATGCATCTTTATCTCTGGTGCCTGGTATGTAACTGGTACTCAATAATGCTGAAGTTAAACTGAACTGAAACTTACTTAATTTTTCTACTTTCAGCTGTTTTTGCAAAGATTCATTTGGCTCCAGCAGGAAGTTTGAAAATATAGAACCATATGAAACAAATCTAACATTGAATCCCCAGGGTAAAGACACCCCATTCCCATGGAGTGAGTAGGCTAGGTGAAGGAAATTTACACAAAACATTTTACTTAATTCAGTGTTGGGTTTTCAGCAGCCAGAGACTCTCAGCCGTTTGGAATACAGAAAGAAGAGAAATTTCAAGTGCTCACTCACAGCCTGACTTCTAGGCCTGGACTTCAGGAATGGGCTTTGTACACCCCTGAACTGGTGGAATTGTATGCAAAGTTTTGACTATGTATATGTGCACTTTTCTTGGAAGGAGACCTAGCTTTGATCATGGTTTCAAAGGAGTCCACGTCCCCAAAAAAAGCAAAGAACCCCAGTTTTAGAGGCATGGCCACTCAGCCCAGGGTCCCATAGGCCTTGTAGAGGGACCTGTCTTAAGATCACTGCCGCTCAGACTGGAGTGGGACATTAACGTCAATTCTAATCTACTTTCTAGGCCCACTGCAGAACTTGACCGGCAAAATTCCTGTTCACCTTGTCTGATTCTCTCCTCGGCAGTACTTCATGCTGGACTGAGAATTTCGAACCTGACAAACCACCCAGGACAAAAAGATTTTAGGGAGGTAGAAAGCACTGGGAACAAAAGGACATGTTTTGTCTGTCTAAACACAGACAAAACATGGGGTGGTGGGTGACATAAAGCAATGAGGAGGAAAATGTGGCTGACAAATAAATCCTTCCCAGTGTCTGAGCAATGTTGGAAACTTGGTTCTGAACCTCACCCCTCTTGGGTTTCTCGGGCGCTGGGGCACGGGCGGTGCGGAGCTGTCTGTGTCCCACGCGGCCCCGGGGCTGGAAGCGTCGCGGAGCAGGGGGGCTGACACGCTGGAACTGCAGTTGCAGCCCATGCATCAGGGGGCGCTGGTGCTTAGCGGGGGGCTGCAGCCAACCCGCATTCCGCCGCCGCCTTGCCGGCTGCTCTGCCTCCGCCACATCCGCCCTCGGGCCCCGGCCCGCCATCGTCAGCCGGAGCAAGGCCGTCCTCAACCTATGAGCAAAAGTAGAGATGGTGGGAATGGCTCCTCCTTCTGTAATTATGTTATTATGTCTCCAGTTGATCTGGTGGCACATAATCATGAACTGATCTGTGACAGAAATTTATCTACTGTGGTCTATTAGTTACACTTTAAAAATTAATTTTCTATCCCCAATTAACTCTTGGAAGGCAGGGGCATTGTGGTGTCCATCTCTGTCCATTCTATTGCAATGATTACACAACTGTCTTAGTAAAAAATGTTGGGCCACTCCTCAATATATTTATTTGTACATTTATTTTTAAATTATATGCATATACTTCTGTCCTGATAAACTGTGGTCATGTTACAGCATAAAAAGACTAATTTTTAAAGGGGAGATAATTAAATATAAGAAGAAATTTTAATATTTACTTCTCCCATCCCACTTCTCTGCACACCCTTGTATACGTGCCCAACTTTAAGGATTACTCCTCTACAGCCCCTAGCACACACCTCAATAGCCCTTAGTATACACCCAGCCTTACTTACAGTGGGTAGTCAATCACTGTTTGTCATCTTTTCTTTTAAGTAATCTCTACATCCAAGGTGGGGTTCAAACTCACAACCCCAAGATCAAGAATTGCATGCTCCACAAATGGAGCCAGCCAGGCACCCCCACTATTTGTCATCTTGACCTAAAATCATGCTTTCAATCCTTGCCATCAGATTCTGTGCCCCCTGCCTGCCAGTTCTGACATACTATCTATGTGGCTTTCGGCATGTCATTAACCTTTTGTGCTCAGTTTCCTCATCTATGAATAAAGATAAAAATAGCACCCGCCTCATTAGATTGTTATGAGGATTAAATAAATTAATATATGTGAAGTGTTTAGAGCAGTCCTGTGTGTTGTAAGCAGTGTAGGAGTTAGCTATTATTACATATCATTATATCCAGAAAGAAATCAAGTCATGAAGTATAGCCAGGTAATTTGCCCAAAGCCAGAGGGGTCAGGGAGATAGAATCTAATTTAGCCACTTAATATCTACAATCTCAAGTATTTTTTGGTTATCAACCAAGAAGCAAGATTTTTTTGGCCTATGCAACCTGCTTTCACCAGATTCTTGAGTTCTCCGCAATGCAAAACAATCTCCACTTTGAAGAGTGCTGGCATACAATGGAAGCCTGTATCTGTAGATTTTTTTTTTAAGTGGGCTCCATGCTGGGCGTGGAGCCCAATGCAGGGCCCGAACTCACAACCCAGAGACCAAGACCCAAGCCAAGATGAAGAGTCGGACGCTTAACCAACTGAGCCACCCAGGTGCCCCTGTATCCTCTAGATTCTAAATGTAGCTCTGAACCACTCTTGGGGATTACCAGTGAGAAAGCAAAAAGCTGTTCTTGACATCGGGGCATTGATCTGACATAACTAGTTCCCAGTGTTGTTTGAAACGGGCCTGGTGCTCACTGCTAGGCCACGTATTATCCTGTTGGACATAATCTCACAGAACACCAATATCCGACAAGGCCACCAAGACCATGATAGAGTGATACTGAACAAGGCCACTGCATAATTTTGTCTAAACACAGACAGAAACAAGGTCACTGTGCCACACACAAAATACCAAACATTTTCTTTTCCTGGTTAATGAATGACTGCTATTCTATAATTTTTTTTTTTTTTGCGAGAGAGAGAATGAGAGAGAGCACGAGAGGGAGGAGGGTCAGAGGGAGAAGCAGACTCTCTGCTGAGCAGGGAGCCCGA